TAATGCACGAAGGGTGATGCTGTGCCATATTATGAGTATTAATGCACGAAGGGTGAAGTCGTGCCATATTGTGAGTGTTAATGCACGAAGGGTGATGCGGTGCCATGATATGAGAGTTAATACACGAAGGGTGATGCCGTGCCATTTCTATTAATTTTATGGTGAGATCGAGAGTAAAAGTACGAAGGGTGATGCCGTGCATTTTTCCTTACTGTATTCACTATTCGTGTTGATTCATGGTATATTGACTGCTCCGGTGATCATTCTGTTGTAGTTCTTTATCTTGTATTCCCCTCAGTATGTTCCCCTCCCGACAATTCCTGTTTAGATCTTCATTTTCGTTATTTGTATATACACTGTTACACTGTACAGGTTGATTTGTAGGTGCCTTGCCTTAACCTCGTCACTACTTCGTTGAGGTTAGGCTCGACACTTACCAGTACATGGGGTCGGTTGTACTGATACTGCACTCTGCACTTTCTGTGCAGATTTTGATACCGGCTCGGGTTGATCAAGATTTTGCTATTGGTCCGCTGTCCGGAGACTCAAGGTAGACCTTGAAGCCCCCTTCTATCTTTTCTGTTCTACTGTTTCTTTAATTCAGACAGTTGTATTTCTTTCGGACTATTACTTGTAGTAAATTCTAGAATGCTCGTGAATTGTGACTCCAGATCCAGATGGTAGTAATTAATACAGTTTTATGATATTCCACACTTATTATATTTCATCTTAGTTAATTATTGTTAATTACTGAATGGAAATAAGAAATTGGTTTAATGATTCTCTAACGTTGGCTTTCCAAGCAAGTGAAATGTTAGGCGCCATCACGGCCCCGTCGGTGGGAAATTTTGGGTCGTGACACATGTAAAACTATTTGGCGATTTGAGTTGTTAGAGGCTTGTAGCCAACTTATGAGCCATATATGGATGCTGATCAATATCTTAAGTCATATTCTGATGTAATTAGGATATCTAATTGTAGATATCGACTTGTTGGTGATGTTGAGCATTTTAATCAACATTGGAATGATGGAGGAGGATTGAAAGCTTGTGAATGTTAATAAAGCGAAAGTGAGGTAAGTTAATTAAAACTTACTCTACTTGAGGGACTTTCTCTAAAAGCGTGTTTTGAGTTAATACTTAATCTGTTTACAAATATGCTTTCGTGCTTGTGGGGACAAACAAGTACGGATGTCTCCATGTACTAGAATATTATGTTGCATATGTAGTGTCATGCCGTTTTATAAAATTTTATTTTAAATCTTGTTGGCAAAATGACACTTGTCACACCTCCTTTTTCCCGAGGGGATAGGGAGTTTTTTCCAATTTAAGTGACATTATTCGAAATGGCATTATTTATTTAATTCAGATTCGCCAATTGGAATAATTTATGGTGTCCCAAGTCACCAGTTTATTTTAGAATCCCAAATCGAGGAAATTTGACTCTTATTTTTGGTCCGCGAACACAGAAAATCGGGTAAGAAATTCTGTTAACCTGGAAAAAGGTGTGAGGCACTCCCAAGTTCCGTGATTTTAGCACGGTCGCTTAACAATTAATACTTGGCGTAATTATCTGATTTATTACATGTTTTAAACCTATTGTGCATTTTTGTCTTTTTACCGCTTTTTAATATTTATGGAACTTATTTGAACAAGTCGCAATGTCGCAAACTCATTTGTTTTTGTATATATTGCGAATCGCGCCACGTGAAACGCACCCGCGATTTACAACATGTTTATTTTTATTATTATTCGAAGTTGAAGTCAAGTCGCGTGAAACGCGCACTTGAGTTGGGGTTTATGTATCGTGACCATGCCACAGGAACCATACCCATAGTCACGATGATTTATTAATCGCGCCTAAAGCAACTAGCACGTGTTCATGATTTGTTTTTCCTTACGGGTTTGAGATCTGTGTAAGGTCAAGAGCTATGGAAATCAATTGTGGAAAATGGGTTAGCTTTTGCTCTTACTAAATTGGGCCTGACTGAGACTATTTTGGACCAGATAAATTAAATTGGATCGTTGTACAATTTGCCCTTTAAAGCCAATTAATGAGTATGCCCATATACTAGTTCATCAAGCTACTCCCTTATCAATTAGTCAATTGCAGTAGTACATGTTTCACTAAGCATAGCCCAACCACCGGGCCCAATTATTATTTTATTTTTTAAGTCCAAACCTCATTTTTCAATTTCAACTAGCAGATATAGATTTTATCCCCAAAGTTCAAACATTCACTACATGCCCAAAAATCATTTTTTTTATAAATCTTCATGTTAATCATCAAGAAAGTAGCAAAATTTAACAAAGCTAATGAGACCTAACAACTAATACAAAAAAAAAATTCAATCTTCATGAATCTAAATAAGATCAAATTATATATTCAAGCATAATATCTTAATAAAACAATGATGAGATAAATGGACCTTTACAAGACTGTTTTGAAGCTCGGACAATGGACAAGGATGTAAATAGATCCTCGATNAATCGAGCCTCGACCAAAATCGACAAATGGAGCTCGAACTCGACGACTCAACTTTGGAGCTGTTGTTTTCTATACAAAAGGGGACTGTTTCGCTGGGTTTTCGGCTCGTTTTTGTGGTGCTTTTTAGCTTGGTTTTCAGTTGGTTCGGGGCTAGAGTTTAGGTGATAAATTGCTGGATTTTTTGAAAGAAAGCCGAAGAAAGAATGACACGAGTAGAAATTTCCTTATCATAGAAGAAGAAAATAATTTTTTTCTCAATTCCTTCCTCCCTATTTTTTC